ACCTTGAGGGCGCACCTGTCCTAAACCTCCCTCGATTACCGGGTTTGGGCGGAGTTCAACAGGGTGGTCTACAGTGGCGGAGAAATCAACGATCTCGCTGAAAGGCACCGAATCACGGTCGCGTGGCAGAATCTCTCGATGGCGCTCGTCCAGAAGGCTGTGGCGGAGTATCATGATAGTATACAATATGCTGTTGAATATGGTGGTGGAAATGTCCGATCAGAATTCAATAAAGTGTAACTTATAGCGCCTTGAAAGTCAAGGAAGAAAAGTGACTTTTTTTGCCCCTCCCTGTACATATGTATATACATTGATAGTTTGTATTTTCTTTCTCATATTTTCTTCGTCACAGTGGCTTGGTAAGGGCAACAAGTGGTGCTCAGCAGTTAATCAAAAGAGACGCTTCCATTTCAGACCGCCCTTGCCGCCTATAACGCCTCACCAATCGTCAAACACATTGTGCATCGAATACGAAAATGTGGTGAACCGACGGAAAAGTATGAGAATAACAAGTAAGTAGAGTTGTTATAGCATGATTAGGTATGTCCGGCTCGAAAGGCTTGATTTATGTCTCTTCCTGAGGGGATAAACATAGCCCTGTTGCAAACCCTGAATGCGGAACTGCTCTTACTGTGCGAGCGGGTTTTGCACTGCTACTTACCCTTTGATTTCAGTGGAGGGCACTGAAGGCAGTTGAGCGCACACAATCCTAGCCAGATTCTTGAAATGGCTCGAGCGATTAGGAAGCAGGGCACATGATCGTTCTGGAAACTACAGCTCTGGGAGTGTATTTGGCCTCTGGAAAATGGAGTAGGGCCGTATTTCACCAAGAGAATTTCTTCCATTTACTGATTTTTCTCCTTTCGCCGTGTTTACCCCGGTTCGCGCCCGAGCTCGAAACTGAACGGCAGGAGAGGAGCTCTGGAGTGGTGGACCGTTTCCAAATAGTCTCCAGTCTGATGACGTTATTGTTACTTTGCACAGGAGCTTTCAGGATGCTCCCCGGTCCTTTACCTTCCAGAGCGGACACATTGTGGTTAAATTCGTGAAAAGGGGGGTTGGATCGTGAAAGGCCGCTGCCTGTACCAGAGAAATCGTATTTCTGGTTAAGCGGGGAGGTCTATTCGTCGAAAATTCCTCACATAACGATTGTCGTGCGTGAAAAAGGGGAGCCTTCATGGTAAGGGTCAAATGGTGTTAATGCTACGGGTTTCAGGCAAATGAAAGAAGAATTTGCTACGCTGGGAATTCTCCCGGGGGGGGGCTGTATATTAGCGTCAATGGGGTCGTATTGTGTGAAAAAAAAGGGTTTTTTTGTTTTTCGTCCCCCAGCGAACAGCAAGGTGTCCTGGCATCCGTCGAGCGGGTTTTTCAAGATGTGATGTTGAAACACAACTTGCGAAAGCTTGTTATTCGAAGAGAATGAGAAAGGTGTCATGGAGTTTGAGACGGCCGCGCAGTGCTAATGCTGCTCGTTGTCGTTGGTGCGGTCAAGGGATCAGAACCCGCTCGCGTTATATTCATCCAATCCGTGCAGTTTGTATTGCTACGGGTTTCAGCGAATAACGCGATATCAACTCGGCCATGCTCTGAAGCTGTTGTGCAGTACTGCAACGGTACAGAATGTGGTCGCGCTCGCGCGAGTACTTTCTTTCATTTATGCTCCATGTTGGGGGAATTGTACGCATATGGAGGCCCTCAAAGTCCCGTTTGGAGAAAATTTCAATTTGACCGTTGAAAGTTCGAAGGCAAAATTAAAACTTTGACTGGTCCCCTTTTAGAAACAACAAATAAATAAGTAGAAAGATGAATAAAAAATAAAAATCAGCAAAGAAGCCAACTATGCCGAGTCCATGGCACTCGTCTGTGGCAGCGTTTCGTGGGTAGTATAGAATAGAACTGATAGGCCTTGAGAACTGAGGCCAAAGAACCCTGGAGAGGGGGAGGACAATGAAAGGTTGTAATGAGAGTAATATCGTCTCGATATAAGTACCGTATATGAAATTGCTTCACCAACCTAGCCCCCCTCTCTTTGGCAAATTCCCATGCCCATGCACGAATCCCTGTTCAGCAGATGCGGTTCCAAATATGCTCCCGATAAGTCTGGGGTACTAAAGCAGTTTTGACAGTAGGACCAGGCTGAAAACGATGATCCATCTCCTTTGAGACGCGCCACGCATTCTACTTCTCTTTGGCATCGTAGTAGCATAAATAGCTTTAAAAACCTACCAAAAAACGTGAATGTTAGACTTATGTCATAGCTTATGTTTTTACCTCTCACCATCAGACAATCGGATGACAGTTTGCCGACCCAGGGGACTGAAGATTCGTTGTCCCGAGGGGGGGGGGAGGTACTTGGCATCTCAAAAGGGACTGGTCGACATCAAAAGTACGGTATTACAGTATCCAGCCCTTTTCAGTCTCTCCGAGTATGATATATTATGCTTTCAGTTCTTTTTCTCTAGGGATTTCGTAGCGTTTGTCAATCTGTTTGCCGATGATACCCAGCCATTACCGATGAACTGGCAGGCCAGTGGAAGAAATCCGGTATGTTGGTCTCGCCGCAGTACTGCTTTTTTGCCTACAGGAAGTACAGTTACCCTTGTTGCAGACAATTTTCATTGATCATGCTGCTCGTCGAACTACACTGATCGATCCTCGCCTTCCTGCTCCAACTGTCGACCGAAAAAGAGGGCGGAGCGCTCCACCAGCACGGCGGCAAAACGTGAGTCTCTCATCCAATTATTAACAGCAGTGATTTTGTGGTGACATTTTTGAATTCTTCAAAGGAATAAAATGCTTTTCTTGCTCAAAAAACGGAAAGAGGTAATCCGACCAGATACGCAATTTGCAGACACATTCCGCGTTATACAGTGAGCGAAGCAATGGGCGGAGACATATAAACACTGTGCCTTCCTGGTTGGTGCCCTCATCCTTCCAATTCTACATATCAGGAGGCGGTACCCAAAAGCAGGAAGACACGTTGGCAAATGAATCTCCGCCCATCTTGTCATGGCGGAATGTGTC